ACCATTTCTCTTGTCTTTTACAGATATGTTATGCTATTAATTTGGGGAAAGAAATTATTGAGGTTCAAAAGGTAAGATGCATTTTAGCATTGGTTTGGTAACTACTCAAAAGACATTTTAAGACTCAAAAAGAAAGCTCATACTCATTTTGTGCTGTTTTGGATTTCTCTCAAGCTTTCTAACAAGACGCATATAAGCAGGTGACTGCATCTGGTAACACACCTTCCTTCGTAACAGAATAGCACTGCTGCAGCTTCAGCTTTACTGACTTTCTTGCTTGCATTCAAACTGGCTAGAGTTCTTCTCTTTCAAATCCAATACCCAATACCCAATTCAAACTTCAAAGTACTTCAAAGTACTTATCACTTGCACTACCACCTAGTTCCAGGCCTGGCAGCACTGACAACCATCAACCAGGAACTTACAGAAATGAACAGAAACCTCCATGTAATTCAACAGCTTACAATCTTCCATTGATCAGTCATTTTTAAGCTTTAGTCTCCCCATGGGGGCAGGAGTGCTACAAATTAGAATGTGATGTTCTAGGTCAGCAGTGCACACACTTGCCACAAAGAACCTTTCCTTAGGCTTGTTGCAGTCTGATTATTCAATTCCACTGTTGTACAAAAGGAACCATGAGCAATATGAAGACAAACATACACAGTGGGCTCCTGCACAGCTTTTGCCAACTCCGTGCACGCACGCAGGCGCACACAAGTGACTTAATGATGTGGAAGACAAGTTTTATGAAGGGGTTGCCCATAGACTCTGGAGGAAGATGATTATAAATGGGGTACATTACTCAGTCCCTTGAGTTTCTTCAGATGAATGAGGCTATAGCAAACACTGAAGGCCAAGCCACAGGGTTTAAGTGCATCTTAAGCTTTTTCTTTTTTCCCTCTCTTACACTCTCTTAACTTCAGGATCCAGAAGCACTGGCTCAATTAATGCTGTCTATACCACTAACCAATGATGGAAAGTATGTACTGTTAAACGATCAACCAGATGACACTGGCGGCAGTCCAAGTGACAACAGAGGCGCAGAATCTGAAGCATAACTCACTTGGGCATCGGGGGTCGGAGTGCTTGGGAAGAGAGCCACCTCCTTAAGGGGTTTTCAACTTCTCTGACGTACAGGCACACTGACCTGATTTCAGAATGCTGACAGTCACATGTGGAATGTACCCTTGGATGCCTTGACACAGACACTTGGGAGGGAAACAGTAAGAAATGGTACCCAGCTACAAATGCTATTTTAGGTGCTTTGTGGTAAGTCTTTGTTTCAGACTGTACTGTTGAGCACCCAGAATGAGAACTATAAAAATGCATTGTTCACTTTATTTGGATGACATCACTTCAGTCTCTACAATCCTTTTTTAAAATGGTAAAACCCTGGATTTTCAGTTTGTTAAATACTAAATAGTTCCTATTAATATGGTCTATTTTTGTATTTTACATAGTTTTTAAGTGCCTGTCATTCTAAAGATGTATTTATAACCACTTATCTGCCTGGACCTCATGGCACTGCTGTGCAGAGACAGTAAGTGTTCTCAACTGGACCTTTCTGAAGCATCTTTCATTAGAAGCTTCAGGTCCTCTTAGAGTGGCTGCTTTTTGTGGCTATTCACCGTAAAGAAGGGACAGCTCTACTAGTTCCTGTTTCTTCTGAGCCAGACCTTCCTCAAAGGACCAATTACTTTCAGAACTCACTTGAGGCTCAGCTGTCAGTGGGGCTCGGGGTGAAGTTCCTGTTTTTACCTTGATGTTTCTGGTTCCTAGAGTCCCAGACCAATTGCCAACCCTGCTAATTATGAAACAGAGATAAAGATCTTGAAATCTTGCAACGTACTTAATTGTAACCAACTTCATCAACTTATCTTTGTAATAATTTAGCAATAAAAATGTACTGTTTTATCTCTTTCTTTGCTTACTATGGTTAGCCCAGTCTGGACCTGCAGTCCTGCTTCTGACTAAATACTGGGGTTACACAGGTGTCATCATGCCTGGATGTGAGTGACAGTGGCACACCTAAATTTTTGACACTCAGGGCCGAAGGAAGATGAGTTCAAGGCCAGCTTGGGTTATGTATGAACTTTAAAGCAGCCCAAACTAAACTATAAAATCCTGTACCAAAAAACACACAGGGCTTTCAGGTGGTGGTAGTGCATGCCTTTAATCCCAGCACTTGGGAGACAGAGGCAGGCAGACCTCTGAGATTGAGTCCAACTTGGTCTACTGAGCAAGTTCTAGGAAAGGCTTCAAAGCTACAGGGAAACCCTGTCTCGGAAACACACACACACACACACACACACACACACCCACACACACCCACACA